AAAAAAAAGTGATAATCATTTGCCCCCTTAACAAAAGTTTCCCTTACGGTTTTTTACCTTACTTTCGTGTAATTCACCGTTAAAATTCGCTTATTGATCTTCTCTTTATTGATAGATCTCACTTAAACTATCATGTACTGTAATTTTCTCCTGAAAAACTTCTAATTGAGCTGTACTATTGTCGATTTTATGTAAATTAGTTCCTGTATTGGCAAGAATATGATGTACAGCATTCGGCAGTTTTTCGTTCATTTTGTCCAAATTATATTATAGGCTTTTTTAAACATGTAATCAAATTCTGGGGTTAATATTAATCAAACGATGAATAGAAATTGTATCACGATACTCAAATATAAGTATACAATATACACTTACATTATTGTATTATATACATATGCCATATAAATATACGTCAGGTAAACAGTTGTACTATCTAGTAGATAATGGTATAATGTGAAAATATTAATTAAACTCTTTGATTCCAGTTTAAATTGTGCAGCTCTGTGGTATGGTAACGTTGCTACTGGGTAGTAGCTTGTTTTCACGCTCGTTTGTAGATATTTACCCGTAATCCATTTCCTCATATAGCCTATCATCAATAATTGTCCCATAATCACGCCCTCTATCCTTTATGGAGATGGCCAATCGAAGGGATTCGAGTAACAATCAAACGACGAGAACTTAAAGTTCGTGGTTGATACATTCCTTATCAAGCACGCGTTCCCGTTCTCAAGAGCAAAGCGTCTATGCATTCTCTGATTATTCATGCCTTGTTTAAATAATACAAGAGGATAGTACTTGGGATGCTGACAAGTAACCAAGATCTTAGGAAACGAGTATAAATAATATAATAAAGTTACAGAGACTAGGCAATGTACAAAGTTTACGAACAAAAAACCTTAATAAATGAGTACGTATATATTTGTAGATATACATTACATTACGCACATTATAATTTATGTTAGACCAAATGTTTAGATGCCTAATTAAATACTAAATATTTATCCCCACTTAGTGTTCAATGGGTTATACTACTTACTACATTTGGATTGTACATGTAAATACATTTTCCATAGACTTTCGTAGATATACTTACTTTGGTATTTTTTTATTCATTTAGTTATAATTTATTCACAATTAAGAAGATAACAATGACCAATCTTAAAGTAATAAACAAACTACAAAGACAAGACAAGCACAAGAATAAGCTTTGTTGTTTGTTGGTTTAATGTGGAGAAGTTTGGATGAAGTACCGATCAGTAATATATGTTGGGTATGTGCATCATAACTGTATCAGATGTCAGAATACCACGCACGAGCTAATACCATACTATTTGCATATGCCAGTGAATTGGGGGAAAAAAAAGGTAGAAATGAATAAGTTTTATGTTGTTGAGTACATTTGTTTCGCGGAAACAATGCGGACGATCGGATGAGTGTAAACTGGGAAGTTGTTTGCAGCAGAAGCATACAATAATGTGTAACAAGAGAATGAGATGGAAGTAGCCATATTTAATACTAAATATGACCAATGCATCACAATGAACAGTGGTAATAATTCATGAATACTTGTCAATTAAAAATAATGGGCAAGCATAGTGCATACATTATCAAATATGGGTGTGTATTATCAACAAAGATTAAAATAAATTAATTGCATAAAATGAAGTCTACATATAAATGAGCATGTTGATGTAATATCCGGTATCAATTGTGTCAGTGGGGGATGTGCATGCGTTGATATTCACATTTGATGATGATTGCACAAATGTGTTCTACACAGGCGTTTAATTATTTAACCATCCAGCTGTGGTTGTCGAAATCCACCAAAAATAATCCAGCAGATGAACAAGTAGTCTATTGCATCCGTTACTCGCAATATCCCGCTTGGTTATCAGCTTCCACGTCGGGAAGACAAGAGAAATTCGCAACTATTGTTACATCGTCTTGTATGACAAAAACCACAAGACTAAATTTAGACTAGATTGTGTATCAGGTGTATACTTATACAGCCGAGTATGATACACGAGGGGAGTATATGAGTCTATTGGATACGCCAAGATTCGGTGTAAAAAAAAAAAGGAATAGAAAAATGAGAAAAAAAGTTTGTGTATTGGTGATGCTTATGTGACGATTACGTTTTTAGTTGTTATACATATCCCATCTATGACGAACATGCGTTACACTTTTTTAAACGTTTGGGCTCGCAATCAAATCATCATTCACTCCCCTACCAGCTAACCTAACACCAACCCGACATCAACCCGACACCAACCCGACACCAACCCGATCACAACTCGGACTCCAACCCCAACATTACTCCATTTTCTCGTTCTTCTTCGCTATATTTGCATAGCTGCCTGATGGAGAAGGGACAGCTCCACGAGGAAAACCGCTTGGTAAAAGTCGCTAATAAAGAATTTGATCACGAGGAGAAAAAAAAAACTTGCCATATTACTCGTATAGAATTGCAACAACGACAACGATAGCGTAACACCATAATTATATCAGATTCATGCGGAATGTGAGAAAGTGACAAGAACCATATGCAGAGACACATCAAAAATCAGCTTGTGTTCTAGTCATTTATGAATTTTTATTGGACTTTTTTTACTTTCACGTTCTTCTTTATTATTATGTTGCATTCGCTTTTTTTTCTTTTGCGTGGGAGATTTAGTGTTAAGGGGAAGGAAAGGGGGGGAGACAACGGGGCAGCAGAGAATGGTCGACTCATGTAGATTGCGATTGTTGATCTGCTGTGAAGTGTATGATAATCATACCCCGTATTTTATTGATCGCAGAAAAGCAGCTCAGCATACTCAATTAGCGTACTCGCTCGATTCGCACACTCGCAATACATCGATTGGACGTACCAGCCAATAACTCTAAAATTATGTCGTTCTGTGGTACAGAAAGAATTGCTGATCGGACGATTGTAATTTATGATGTGTGATTGTAGGATGAGGTGATGATCACCATAGTCACATAATAGACCATATATGGCATTATGATATACAGTACTGTCATTGAGATTCCTTATTCTATGAGTATCGACTGGCCATCATCAGTGGTCGACCAATGGGATTCTGGCACTGTCGATAATCTGGTAGCGTGAATAGAATACTGTGCATATTCGCTTGTCGTTTAATTATCACCTGCTCATTCTTTTTCCACGAAATTATATAGCCCCATAAAATACGCCTCATCCCTTATAAGTCCAAATATACGCCAAAGAGGGCTTTGTATGCTGGTTACAAGTCAGGGGTAATAAAGAAAGCCAAGTCTACACGCACAATATAAATCTTTGTATGGGTTGTGTTGATATTAATAATAATAGCGATAGCCAATATACAGATATAAATAAATATAAATAAATGTATAAATATAAATACAAATATAAATACATTACTACATAATCTCACACTTGTATATATCTATTTACATTTATTTATATGTCTTATTGCATTTCTTCACACTGCAATTATTAATCAAGAATACATGTTTACAATACTGCATATATTTATGTATTGCAATTATTTATATGCCGATTACTCATCCTTATTTGCCCCATTTATTTATTTATACAGTGCCTGCAAACACTCGTTTTGTGCCCTCCCTGATTTTGTAATAAATAACTGGGTTGGTTGTACTTTACTTTTTTCTGTTGAGACAGTGCATTTTTTCCTCCTCACAAAAATTAAGAAAATCATCGATTTTATATTCCACTGCTCTCATATAACAAAAAGTATAAGAGTAACAGCGTATTATAAGTAAGAGTAACAACGCAACAAAATAAAAAAAAGTAAGAGTAACAAAGTATAACCCAACAATAATAATATATATATATTATTATATATTCTATTGAACATCTTTAATATTATCATACCATTATTTTTTGACGTTGAATATCAACTACAGTAAAAATTATAACTCGGACTGTGTTTATTTCTATCATCAGGAAATTATAACGAAACACTAAAACCGTAATTAATTGAAAAAAAAAAAAGAAACTGTACACGACAACTCAACTATACCGAAACTAATATACTCTCCGCCAAAAAAGATTCCCTTTGTATGTCCGACTCCATATCTCATTAAATCGCAATGGCATACAACAACAATCCGCGATACGCTTCTTCAAATCCAAACAACCAACGATATTTCCCCGCCGGTTATCCATCCCCACAACAACTGCAGACACAACAGTTCAGTCATAATGCCACGCCCTCTTTCAACGCTGTAGCTCCCATTAACAGTTATACCAGTCCGCGTATGGACCCCGCAAGATCCTCATACTATCCCGCATCACACGCCCAACAATCAACACAACAAACTCCACAACACAGTCTGTCGTGGCAAAAGAGCTCTTGGGATCATTCAAATGTATTGCATCAAAACATTTACAGCAACACTGGAACCTCCACCAGCGCTGCTTCCAGTGGATTCGCTCCTGCTCCTAACAACGGTTTGTTCACATCAACCCAACAACAACAGCATAGGCGATTGCAACCATCATCGCACATGCAACAACAGTCTTTGAACACTCAATCCATGTATGGAGGTGGGCATCAGTCATCACTCGGTAAATTTATTTTCTTTTTGTGTGTAATAGCTATAGTTTCACACGCGAATACTTTATTTACAGTAGTATATTAATTTTAAATATAT